CTTAATTTCTTTTTTTATTATACAGAGCATTGTCTTACTGAAATACACTTTACTCACTGAAATATAGTGCAAAGACCATACACAGATACCCAAGAAGTCAGTTTTGCAAATTGCACAACCATAAAAAGTCTGGATTCTCATTTTTTTCCCTTGCTGATGACTCAGTTCCATATGTAGATATGGATACTCCTGCCTTTCCTTGTAGGCAGGCTGCGATGGCCCCATCCAGGAAAAAAATTCACACACACAAAAAAGCTTTCTTGTATTAAACACTATAGGTCACTATTCTACTATAAGCCTGTTATGAATTAGTCAATAGGAAGGATTCTGCCTTTGAATTATAGTTATTTTAGTCTTAGTGCTCCAAGAATAACTACCACTTATTCTCAGTAAATAAGAAGACAGGGCTAGCAAAGAAAAAAAAAAAACACCCAGTCAGAAAGCCTCAACAGTGAAGAAAACATCTATAGTTCAGCAATAATAAACACTCAGGGAGCAGCACAGCATTTGGTAAAGAAAGCTCTGCAGCTATCTGAGGAATGCTAATTTTAGAAGATTTGCTTTTTGCTGCTGGAAGATGTGGGACTGCTCCACTGGGGCTGCTGATGGTCAGGTATTGATTTATGCACTCTGCCTTTGTGAAAGGTATTCCTCTACAGCACAGGCTTTTACACTTTGAAAATACCTATTTCTAGAGACCATTTCTGGTGGCCACTCCCTTCTAATCAGTTATTTTTGGACCACATGTTTTCCCCATCCTGCCACTGCCTTCTCCTATAATCTGTCTCCTGAGAGGTCGAAGTCGGATGTTGCATGAATAAGGTGCAAGTGCAGCTCACATCTACAGCCCTTCCATTAAAGAGAAAAGGCAGGAAGCACCGACACTGCAAACTAAAAGAACTTCTTCATTGCACAGTGAAATGCACCTCTTCTTACTTTTGCAGACTGATTTTCAGCTCTATCATCAGAATGTTTTAATTTTACCCCTTAAATGTACTTATGATTATAACTTTAGCCTTTTGAAAGAGATTCACCACAGCCTTGAATTTGGGTAAATGCAGAAATGTAACCATACAGAAGGCAGTGAGGCAATATTGCAAGTATTTTCTCCATAATCTTGAACGAGAAAAATAAGATCTCATGGCACTTGATATCACTGAAATATCATGGCAAAGGAAAGAAGAGAGGGGGTGGTAAATCTTTCCACAGAAGAGATCACATAGTGATTATAGAGTAAAATTTATCAGAGGTCTCATGGGAAAATCACAGTTTACTAATTGATCATGATTGAGAATTTACTCTTGGAATATCTCTGACCTGATTTCCTAAGAACAGGAGGAAATGATTACTCTTGTAATCATGCCAGCTTGTGTCTCCCTCAGCTGTAGCAAGCCCAATAGCTAACTTCAACCAATCTCAAAAAACGAAGAGGTATCAAAAATGTTCAGTTCCTAACAACTTTGTGAAATTATGTGGTTCATTAAAAAAGAGGGACGTTCTGTAATGTTACTTGAACTGAGAATCCACATATAAATCCGCATATAAATGAAAACAAAAGAGACATGTTACACACGTCGCAGAGCGTGATGTGTTTAGACATCAAGGTCTGTCAATCTCATGATGCAAATCCACGGGAAACCTGGCTTCTTTAGTTCTAAAGGTGATAGAACTTTTCTAAACACTCTATTCCACAAAAAGTAATAAAAATTTACCTTTATACAGCTACAGAATGAAAATATGTGCTGAGGCATCAAAAGATTCTGTGAAAACAGCATTACTAATCATTACTGCCCTCTTTTTTTTCCTTCTAAAATCTATAAAATAGGCAAGGTTAGATGAGCAAAAGGTCTGACCTCAGACGTTGAACTCAGCATGAGTCCAACATGACTCATTAAGTGACCCACTGTCTTTCTTTACTATTCTTCAAGGTGACTATTAATATTGGCTAATGTTCCATCAACTTCTACTAAAACCACCTCTTCAGCAAGTGTCCCCAAGCACAGCACTGTATCAAGTAGTCAATTAATTAAAACCTTCTGCTAGCTTAGAGAATTTAGGCCAGGCTTTGACAGAGCCTATTCAGTTACTTTTATACTGACTATGATTTACAAGTGTAAATCTCTCTCTTCATAGCACTGGATACATTTTTTTAATACTGCACCAATACGAGTCATTTTATGTCTTTGTTATTCAAACTAGAGCAAGATAATGGCATATTTTAGGTAATTTTGTCTAGGCATACTTTTAGACATTTCAGTTTATTACAAATCACCAAGTCTTATTTTACTCCTGGATCTGCATTTTATGACCTTAAGTTGTCAGAGAAATTCACATATTCATTGAGGTGGATGAAGAAAACTAACCTATATATTATGTATGTATGTATATGTAAATATAAAGAATATTTTAAGAATTTCTCTTAACTGTGCAATTGTGCTATGTTAATAGGCACTCAGCTAACAGTGGTCCCTAGGCTCAGTGATTTAGGACAGTATCTATCTGAAGAGCTAATGAGGATTAAAGGTGTGCAACGCTGCCAGAGACAAAAGGGACTGACAAATGCATAGGTACAACCTCTTTTATTCATAGGGGAAAAACTTCAAGCTAATTGTACTTTTATGACAGATCTGCCCCAAACTCACCCTCCCGAGCTTTTACCCAAGCCTTGTAAGCTCAAAGACTAAAGTCTTAGTAGGCTATAAATAAGGACAGCTAAAGTTTTAAATGGAACCAACTGAATGAGATTATGTCAAATTGAGCAGAAACAATAATGATAATAAAATAACCTTTCTGCATAAGCTCATTACATCCTTGCAGTCACTTCTGGCATACAAGACCCAGCTCTGCATGGGAGACATTCTGCCTACTTGTGCCTGTTACGTTACCCAAAAGAAGGAGCCATCTCTCAATCTGGGGGCAGGTGTCAGACCTAACCAAGCAACTGCTCTCAGGAAGATATTCCCCCAACCCTTAAATTAAAGGAGTTACCATGAAGTTTATGGAGCCTGGAGGTGCTCTGATATGAACAATGCCTTCCCTTTTGTCAGAAATAGAGTGCAAAAGACCTAATAACAGCAAAAAGCACTTTTTTGTTGTTTTTGATTGCAAAATTATTTTAATTATTCAAAACGTGGATAAATGTCATAAAGAAAACCTTTGATTATTTTGGGGATGCAGAATTCATAACTTGAATAACAGGAATAAAATGGGAAGTTTATTACCAAGTATTTCATATGGACAGGCTACATTTTTCTCTCTCAAAGGCAGCAACTGTAATACATTTTGCAGCTTTGCCATTAAATACAGAGAGATGATTTTCCAACTAATTTCTAAAGGAGGTTTTGTGGAAGAAAATGGGTAATCAACGTGGAGAATGTCTTTCTTCTGAAAAATGCTTTCAGTCTATCATAAATGACAGTCATTTAAAGGCAATCACTTGTGTTTTATATCTCTCACAAAAAACACCAGACACAGTACCCTGTCTTTGAGACAAAACACTGATACATGTGGCAGAGCATTTCAAGCAGTAATAACCAAAACCCACAGATTCAGTAGCATTCAGTAAACAACTGAGCTTTCCTCCATTAAAATCTATAGCTTTGTTTGCTGTTGCTTATCTTTAATTTCTTTATTACATTTTGAATTACCAATTATCTGTTCTGGATGAGACAGGCTGAATAGATACAAATTGCATTGGTTCTGCTGTACATACACCGATAACTTACACATCTATTAAAAATAAAGTGGTTTTCAGAATATCACCCAGGAGGCATGTGTTCTGTTCAGTGACCTTTGGAAACTCTAGTCCAATGAATAAGTAGTGATGTGCAAATAACTTGAGAGACAGTAGATAAAAAGTGCCCATAACCTTATACATTTTCTGTTATGAGACTGCGCAGAGAGTGACTACAGTAAAAAGACATATTGGTATTTTATAATTTGCCTGAGAGATCAAATCAATGAGAATATATGCTTGTATCCCTTTAAGTTGAATGGTTATGAAATTCATTATCCTGGGCAATTAAAAACACAGCATGCAGAAGTGCAACGAATTGTATAGTCTTAGCTACCTTATAGGCATCAGCTCAAAAGGTACCAGTCACATTTGGATAAATCACACCTTGCATTCGAACATTTTATGTACAAAGAAGCCTAACTGTTTTCTCCAAAATGATAAAACGTCCTATTACCAGAATATGGGCAGAATATTGAAGGAATTTGGCAATGACAGTCTTGAATCCATTAGCAGTCCTTCTAAGCACTACTGTAAATGAGAAAGCTAAGACTTTCTTGGCCATCTGGTGTTGTCCTTGTGATAAAGAAAGTCTGTAGTCTAAAGAAAGCAGTTATGTAAACAAAAAAAAAGGCAAGGAAAAAACAAAGCTAAGAATTCATATAGGATGCAATGCAACTTTTAAATATCCTTCTATTTTTGTGCTACTGCTAACAAAGGCTTCACTGCCAGCCCTGAATACTACTGATGCAATTCAGACTTGGATAAAAATATCATCCTTTACACATAGATACAGCCTTTACACATAGATACAGCCTTCAGCTTTTATAGATTCACTTGAACGCACAAAAAATCTTTTGCAACTCTTGTTTTATAAATGAAGACTGCATGTCTTTTATTAACATGCACCCATGCAAGGAAATCAAAGAGGTTAAGTGTGAAAAGCTTCTGCATTTCCAATTCACAAGCAAAAGAGAGTTACCAAGTCACATGGCTTCTTGCTAATGACCAAATGTCTAGTCAAGCACTTATGCAGTTGGAGGAAGGAAAGCATTCTGGATGCTGTTCTTCAAGTCCCTACACCTGAAATACCTTAAAAATATGAAAGGCTTATCCTAATGCATTACTCGCATTTTAACGTGAAAGGATGCATAGTGTAAGTCCTCATCCAAAAGGTATTTTTTTTGTTTATAATCCTTTTCAATTTCATAGATATTTGCGCCATAGAAAATATTTTGCCCATAAGAAAATAATAAATTACACTTACCCTCTCCAACGTAATTTCTTCAAATTCATACTCAATTTCTGTTCCATTGACCTAAACAAAATAAAATCAGAAAATCCATTAAATGCATGTAGACGGTAGTTTGGTAGGGATATTTTACAGGTATTCCCATGCGATCAGTTTTCTGAAACATATTTTTTCAACATACACACCAAAATATCCAAGTTGTAGACTATTTGGCTTCGCTTTGTCCCTAATGGCATGTAATCAAGCCTACAAACTTGAGGAATGTAGCAGTTAGTACGTAAAGCACTGAGCTAACAGATAACTAAGTCATTTAAACAACTGGCTTTATATCTGATGCAGTGTGTCTGTGGACTTTGTGCAAATATTTGAAGTGTGTCCAAAGTATTATTTCATATCAGAAACAGAAGAACTGCTTTTGAAAATTATTCTCATCAATAGAAGAAAGATTAATTATTCATCCCCTTGCTAGCTCCAATTTACTCCACAGCACAATACGAGACGAATACTTGTGTGAAAATAACTTCCTGATACAGATACTGGAATATACCTTGCATATGATGTTAACCTAAGGCAAAAACATGACAGAGGACCTTTGTTCTAGACAGCTGAAGAGCAAAAAGGCACAAAATGTTAATGCAATTCTTACAGTGAATTTCAGTATCACAATAAATTAAACTACAAAATGTAGGGCATCAAAATGGATTGCACCGGACAAGAAATCTATCAGGCAAAGACATGACACTGATTTAAGCAGTACTCTGAAACCTTGTTCCTGGTCTGGCATGGATTTTTTCTGTCCCTTTAGGCAACACACTTCATAACCCTTTCATAGTTTCCTCATTTCCTAAATGGGGAAGAGTGTTGGATCTGAGAAAGCTATAAAATCTGACTGTTTAAGTAAACTGTACAGTAATGAGAGTACTTTTATTATTAAAAACTCTTAGAATTGCTCAAAGTATCCCTTAGCTAGTCAGAAAGTTTTGAATTTTGCCAGAATACATTAAAATCAAAATTAAAGATATTGCCAACAAATCATTGCGTTATTGTTGAAAAGATGCTTCCATGAAAACAGTTTCACTGTATTTTATTTGATTTATACTTACAGAAAATTAAATGTAGATTACAGGAGAAAACATGAGATGAAGCATTATGATTGACCTAATCTTTGAGGAACAACCTTGTATTTTTCCTTCCGAAAATCAGTTCACCATTAAACCTCCTCCCACTACCAAAATGTCAATGTTTTAAATTTCTGTCCTAATGTCAAGAAGGGAGAAAAATAGTCAGAATTGTTGCAGGACAAGAGCCTACCAAGAGTTCTTCAGCCACTGCTAATTCCTATGTTAGCTTTTGAATTTTGATCAGAAAGTACTGTATGCAGATCACACATTATCTAGTCAGGCATCTTTCAGATGTAATTAGGTACTTCTGTGGTGAATATTATTATAAGACACATGTATCTACCAACCAAAGGCATCCTATAAAAGCTAGCAATTTAATTTGTATGCAATTCAATATTTGATAAACCATGAAACCAGTAATAGAAATACAATCCACAGAATCTCTGTTCAAAAGATAAATAACCCATACTTAGCACTGAAACACTGAAACACAGCATTGATGAATAAAATATTTAATACATACATGCAGAATCTCTGTTCAAAAGATAAATACTTAACACTGAAACACTGAAACACAGCACTGATGAATAAAATATTTAATACATACATAATATTTATACTTCTTACATGACTGCTGTCTGGTAGTCACATTCCACTATACTAAACCCAATATGAACATAAATACTCCTATGGAACATTTTCCTATTCTATATTAGCATTTTAGTCCTTTCTGTATAGTCTCATTCATATAGGCAACTTATGGGTATGAACAGCTTTATAGCTATTCTACATTTTTGTCCTTTCTTGTCTAATGTTAATAAAATCAAAGCTATCTACATGTCTCTGTCTTCATGAATTTTTCTTTTATCTTAGGTTAGTGGAAATCTCTGATCTATGTCTTCAATTCCTCAGTCTCGCTCTATAAGGCTGTCTTTGCTTCACTGCTTATAATCACTTGTCCTTTGCATTAAAAACTCATTAGTGCAGCAAATGGGGAAAAAAGAGGAACACAAGAAGTAAGTAACCTCTGTATAAAGATGAAAGGAGAATAAAACAGGCCTAAATCTCAACTTGCATTTGCACACAAACACAGTCTCAATTCCTATAATCTGAAGGGGCCCCTTTTATTCTCCCTTGTCATGAATCCCTCAAAAGTCTTCAGCTCTCCATTCATCACAGCAGAGATCCATTTTCAGGTGTCATAGCAGCATGGATGATATGAATTAAAAAGTAACTTTGATCCAATTCCTTCTGTTAATTAGGATATATATTTATACAGGGTGTTCAGTTCCTCGCCCTACTCATTTTGCTGGTGCGTGCTGAGACCCCAACATAGCTATTTCTTGAAGGACAGAAGAAGATCTTGCATCTACCTAGGGCAGGTGGAATAATGATGTATGTAGTACCATTTGTCTGTAGCCTGGCTGCACCTATACTGATAAATTATATACAGCATGCAGTCAAATCTCATTGCTTAAAGCCAGCTTGGAGCTTGCTGGAAAGAAATAGCTGATGACTGATGCAGAAGTGAAGCATGAGGAGAGTGAAAGGGTCCAATGCTGAAACTGACCTGCTGGTCCTCTTATTTAGCATAAAATATAATTATGGCAGTTCTCTGGACTGACTAGGCTTGTAATCAGGCTGTTTGGAACAGCAGCTTCTATTTCTTGCAGTGGGAACCTGTTCTGTCCTTCTTTGTGAGAGTTTTCCAGTTTCTGCTGTTAGATCAGACTGCAGCAAAAACTCATAGCAAAATTTACAATCATCTCCTGTATGATTTTAGATACCTATGAAAAAATCCCAAACTGTTTCATAGGATTTTTCCTTTTTCTTCTCTGAAGCTAAAGAAATCATAAGTATTCCCCAGATTGCCTGGAAATATTATTTCTCAACTTTCAGATCTGCAAGCTTGACACAACTAATGGCTTGAACTTTAGCTGAATTTGATGTCTATAATGCTGACATCTGAGGTATCATCTATCTCCCTTTATACTCATTTCTAGGCATTCTTAATTCATTTCATCCTGTAGTAGAAATGTCAGACAGGATATTGTGACTCTGAAGTTTCCTTTCTCTAAGTGAAAACAGAGTCTATAGAAGATGTGTTAGCTGAGCATTTGAATCTGATTTCTCTGCAGTTCTCCTAACTCTAGATGGGTAACGCAGTCCCACAGTCCATCCTGAGGGACGTCATCTCTCTTTCACAAGTACACACCGGAAAAAGGCAAGATCTCTGGATTAGCAGCTTTTCCTACTCCTTTTTGGAGACTTGTCTGCATCTCTTCCTGGCAGCACATGGGCAGCGTAATATAGAGCACCACATCCCACAAGACTGACTGGCTTGGATGCCTCTATGGACAGTCTCTCCACTTATCCAAAAGCTCAGAGTCAAGATACACCGTTTTACCTCTCCAATACTGCTCATGACACACATATCACTTCCTTGGGAAAGGAGTGCTCAGCGGCACCTCTGACAGTAACAGCTCTGGGAAGGCACCACCTTTTCTCAGCGGACTGTGGTAGAGGTAAGAAAAGTACAAGTTCAGATGAAGGGAAGAATGTAACCAACCAAAGCCCTTCTTTGAGGCAGAATTTGAAGGGAAAATACTTCTTTTATTTTATTCTTGTACTTTATTTTGAGAAGGTCACAAAAAATATGGTTGTACAGGACAAAATGCACTGATAAAAGTCAACACTGGGTCCTCACAGAACCTTAAGAGAACTTCTGAGGACCTTGAAGTGCTTTTCAACAACATCACCAACATACACTTCCGATGAAGGAAGACTGTTCAGCCTCCTGGCCTAACACATGTCTGTAATCCAGAGTGTGATCTGGAGCACCCAGGAGCTTAAAGCTCCTGTAAAATAAATTATTACAACTCAACTAAATCCCAATATTTAAAGCAACTGTTTGCAAAGGCAGAGTAAGTGTTGTCATACATTTACAGACACAACCGTTATGCTGGAAGACACTCCCCAACTTTTGAATAGGAAGCTTTTTTAAGAAAGATTTGTAATATATAGTAACCTTCTAAATTCTAGCATTCAAGAGCTGTAACTTAGTGAAGCAATAATCACTGTCAAAGATCACTACTGAGACGACTTGTCTTCCTAAGAAGAAATCATGAGTCATCTGCAGAGGACAGAGATGAATTGCTTGCGTTGAGAGGAATGAAAAATAAGAACAGGTAAGAAGAGGTTCTTTATATGCTGTTTGGCAAAAGTCTGAAATAAAGTTTAGCACACAGCACACTGAAAACCTCAGTTATTTTCTTCCTTTCCATGAAGAATTTTACTATGACTGTCCACGAACTTTGTTTTGTTTTGTGTAGTTTCAGGATGACAGAAACCACTGAAGCACTCCCTTAATAAAATTCAGTTCTACAGACATTTATATGTATGCTTTTTTATTTTTTTTCTCACAATGATAACTTAATACCCTTTTTATACTGCAATGAGAAAGTGCCAAAAATTGATTTGACGAGACCTTTTTACATTCAAATTAGCATTGTCTAAATCTTTCTTTCTTCTACACATCTATCACTGCTTCCATCCATGCAATAAGATAAAGATGTCATCACATGAATTTTTATGATAAAAACTGCATAACAATAGCAGCAATAACATCACCAAAACACTCAGAATTTATACAACTGCAGTGCTCTGAGATCACTGCACCTATTCTTTATAACAAAATGGTGTCATCAGAGATGTTTGTTTGTACTTAATCTTATTTTCAAGAAGAGAATGTTTTGCTGAAAAATTACATCTGTAGACTTCTATTACAAACAAATTTCCATTTTAATTAGACTTAATTGGATATTGTTTTTCAGCTGTCTTCAAGAGAGAAGATAACTTCTTCTATTTGTATTATCACATATTTACTGGGATTTTTATTCAGTGAGTATTTTTGATTCTTTTTGCTACAAGGTTTCATCAGTTGCT